TTTCCCCAGAACAATAATTTCTAAATAGCTTCAAATGATTTAAATTAATGTATGCACTCAGTAAAACAGTCACTTTTTTTTAGGTTATTTTGGCTAAAAAAATTGGTATTCTATACAGCAGAAATGCATCCAATGCATTTCTGTCCCTGTAGTTTTGTCATTCATGAAACCAGAAATGACATTTGATCAGAAGTATGGAAATTTTCATGGTAAATAAATTCACAAGTGTAGTTTTATTCTTTGTTTTCTTCCTTTTCTTTCTTTCACACAAACTCTGGGGGCAATATTAAAAGAACAGACCAGTGATGAGTAGTCACACATAGTGTGCAGATCCCAACTTCGAGTTGCATTTCTACTTGCATAAAGTGTGAGGAATCCCTACAGAATGCAAACAAATGCATGAATTTGTCTGCATTAGTGCAGAGAAAATGAAGCCGCCTTATTGTACACAATATCACTAGAAAACTGCTATATTGCAATACATTCTGGCCTATCACGAACATGCTGAGGCCAGTTAAATTTTTCCAGTATTCATCATTACCCCAACATAAGGTTCCAAACAGAAACATTTTTTCCTGAGAGGGACTTTGTCTCTTACTCTATGGAATGCACCTTGTACTGCAAAAGAACCAGCTCCACATCATGGGGGAAATCCACATAGCCTCCTCCTGGCAAAAAAAAAAAAAAAAAGCCTGGACAACATCAGCTGCTAAGATAAAAATACAAGTGCAATGTGTGTGAACAGAATATTCAAAACAGAGAGAGCTTGCTCAGCACCTGGTAAGGCTGAAAATGAAGACAACCATCAGCCACATTAAACAGTAACCAAGCAGTTACCAAGAGAGCTTGTGCGTGGGGGAAAAAAAAAGAGTCAGCTTAAGACCAAGTATAAAAACCACTCAAATTCCTAACAGAAGAAAGAAGCAGTCAACACTGGTCTGACACAGAAGATGCCCTCCTGGGATCTCGAGCTCTGCTGAGGCCTGAGGGTGCACCCTGCCCAGCAGCAGCCTGTGGGCTGACAGTCAGGGGTAACCAGTGCTGGCTGCTCCTGGGGTGCCTGCACAGCGCCTCGGGTGGACTACTGGAGTGCAAGGAGCAGCACAGGTAGCCCTGCAGCTACAGCACCCCCATCTCCAAAGAAGATGGATGTAAAGAGGGTAACAGGTGGGCTCTTATAACCCAAACCTCCTGTTAAAGGGATGAAGGTGAGCATGGAACAGCAAGCTGACAGGGGAATTGCTGTAGAAGGGTGTTTAGATATCTGAAGGCATTTACTGAGGTTTTCTAAGGGTCTAGTACAGTCATTTATCTGCTATATTGCTGCCATTAATCCTGCACACATAGACTAACAGTTAATTACAAGCTATTAATAAATCAACAAACCACTTTAATTCTACATTGATTTAAGCCAAGAGTGTTTTCCCCCCTACATGCACTCTCTTCAGTGTTTTTTACTTCACACTGCTATGCAGCAGCCTTCAGCTAAAACTTGACTGTCTCAGGTTTTTCTTTTTCTTTTTTTGTTTCTCTTTCCTTATCCTTCACCTGAGGGCACCCAAGATATACAGGAAATCAACCAACTAACTATACAGGTCGCATTTACTTCAGTATTCAGATAGATTCCAAACTAATACAGTAACTGTACTGCACCAAAATAATAGCTCCAAAACCTGGACCAAAATAGATCAGGTCTTTGAAAAGTGGGTCGTAAGTTCTTGAGTTAGACAAATGAAAATTTAAGAGGTTTAACATATATGCTAGCTTTCTTAATGTGGCTTCTTGAAGAAGATGCTCTAATAAATTTAATCCACTAGATCAGATCTTTTCATCAGGAAATTTCAGTTAACACCATATGAAAGATTGCTGTTTCTTCCCCCTGCAACTGACAAAGTTTAGTTTTAGCTCACTTCTAGAAAACACTGAAGAGTGTTGTTCCTATTTTATTTCTTCTCTGAAGCAGAGTAAAAAATTACTTTAGTTTTCATGGTTCATTTCTGAACTTCTGCAGATGACATTTTTATAAAATAGTCAAGAATCCCTTCTCCTCTTTCAACTTCAGAAATTCTCAGTCTTTTGAAAGCACAGGAACTTCCAAATCTAATGCTTGGGCTACAAAGTGTAGGGCCTCTTCATCATCCCTTTATCCTAAGCAGACTTGCATAAAACTATACATTGACAGATCTTGTGATCAAAGATACTGAACAAGCATGCTCGTTGATCCATGACTTGGACTCTCAGAACCTTTTGGAAGCTCAAAAATCCTAACATTCATGAAGTGTAAATGTGCTGCTTCTAAAATGTCTTTTGTTATTTATGGACTACTATGCATCAGGATTTTTAAAACTAAGATTACAAGAAATGTATCACCTAGTAACTACTTTTTATGTCACTTACTCTGCAAAAGCTGATTTTTAACATGCACTTAAGAGTTTAAAATAACTTCTTGACTAGCAACTGGCAACCACATTCTTCATTCCAATTTCAGAAAACCAAAAAGACATAAATCTGTAAAAGAGAATCAAAATATAACAGAGTCTTATGTGAAAAAAACCCATCTCTTCATAGTAAACTGTTTTCAAACTTATTCATACAAGTGCCATACAAATAAAGTGGCTAGTGGAAACCAGAATAACCTAGAATTCCAAGAAGAAATACTACAGGAAAAAAAGAAAAAGCAGTTAAAAACACATGTAGAAGGCAGTTATTTTAATGTAGTCAGCCAGGGAAACAAACCCCTTACCTGTCAGTTGCATACTCCATAATTCCAACCAACACTGCTCCAATGCACTATTATTACTCCCCACTTCTGCTCCCCAGCCCTTTTCCAAGTTAATGGAATATCTATACTTTTTTTTCTTCCAAGTGCTAGGAAGAAAACTACTCTTCACTTCTCTCTGTCCAGAAGATACCTTCCCCCATTAACAGCCACATTCTTACCTACTTTACTGTTTATATATTCCACCCATGGAATATGGAATCAAAGAACTGGAAATTCTTCCTTTTCTCCGTAACTTAACTGAGTGCTTGAAACAGGCACAGTAGGAGCACTTCTCCAATTAACATTTACCCAGCAAATTCCACCTCCTCATTCCCTTAACACATCTGAGTCACAACCACCAGCTCAAGTGACTGGAAATTAACCTACTAAAGCAAAAATGCATTAAGTTACACAGTCATTTGACACATAACTTCAGAGAAACCTACATTCGGGAGAGTTTCCCCTTGAAGCAAGTGAATTTTATTAAAGACAGAGAGGACTTGTAGAGAGATGCAGTGTCTTGTATTAAGTCCACTGATGTGCTATGAAAAAAATGAAGTCTTTCAGACAGGCAAGATCTTTCTTTAGTCTTAACGCTATTATAAAGGTTATCAGACCACTTACAGCTTCTCCTGCTTTTTCCACGAGGGTTAGTCTTGTTTTCTAAGAAAAATGAAAGATGAACGCATTCCCCTTGAAAAATTATGGATAAGGGTTGTAAGCAAAAACAACATAGAAGATTGCTGCCCTCCTTATCAGGATGTTTTGTACCTTCTCTGTGAATTTAAATTCACACCCTGGTAGATAAAATAAACCCCCAAATGGGGCCCTTAAATTATCTTCTAGTCAGCTGAATATTCCGAGTTGTTTCTTTTTTAAACAGCACTTTGTTATTTTGAAAACGGAGTATTGGTTAAGCAGTAGAATGTAGCTAGTATCTGTATTAGTCTTTTAATCATAAATCAGTAATTCCTGACAGAATATGAAGGCTTCTGCCTATCTTGACTATTTGGGCTGTGCTGCACCACTCTGTCAAACTCCACCTGCTGGATAATCCTCTTACAACAAGCCTGGAGAAGCTTTTGTCTCACCAGTATTGATATAATACCTAAATACAATGATAAACCTGACTGAACAGTACACCTGATTATATAACCTTCAGGCTTTTCCTTCCTACCATTCTCTGTTGGTACTACAACCGAGGGAAATCTCTGGGTAGATTATTTTTTCTAAACATCTCAGGTTAATTGGCCATAAAACTAGTATCAATTTCTGGTAATGCAGTTATATACAGGAAAAGTCATAGCTCCATGTCACAAAGAGAAAAAAGTGTACTCCATGCTTTTCAGCCTCTAAGAGCAGAAACTAACATGCATACACAATTTTTAACTAATAAAGTATCACCTTTTATTTTTCCAATGCTACGAGATAAAAGGTTAATAAATGCCTTGAAACTCCAAAGGAGTACCAACTCCAGAGAATGTCAATTCTAAGCTAATTAGTTAATTTGAAACTTACACATCTGAGTGCCATGTAACTCGCCTGCTTGCTGCTCCTTTCAGTAAATTCAGTCAAATCACAATACGTAAATTCTGTTAAAGCTACAATGAAGCATCCAACTTTCCTTATGGCTAAGCTCTATTATTCATGTTCAGAAACTTTTCTGGCTTTGGGGGTGGAAAAGTAATTGAGTTTGAGGGCTGCAGGTGAAAGGTAGCAATTTGAGATATTTTTATAATACAGAACTTACTCAACCACTTCCTTATACACAAGTCAAACATTCCAATTTCAAACAATAACTAAGAGTAAGTTTTTACCCATAAGTTCCAACCCATAAAAACCATAGTAATTTAGATCTGTATATCTAATGGTATTTTCTCTTATTGTCTTACAAATTCACTTGCCACCAAGCACTACTCTTTATTATGATCTACCACCTTCTAGGAATAATTAAAAAATAATGCAGGGTGATATACACCCAGACTTGCAAATCATACCTGACGTAGTCTGTGATACTGAAATGCTGAAAGAGGCGTTACATTTGGAAAAAGTACTTTAATCAAAAGTTGGGAGAGCGTGTACTCACTTAGAATACTGCTCAAATATTTATCTAGAAACAAAAAATAAACCTATTTTACACAGTTGATGTTGTCACATTGGCAGTAAAAGCCAAAAAAACCTGCTGCTGCAGATTATCATAATCTCAGAATGTCATCACTAAGCATGAGTAAAGACTATCTGCAATGAGAAGTTTTATAGAAGCTTCAAGACAACTACAATTTCTGATGAAGAACTATTTTTTTCCTCTTGAAATAAGTCCATTTATTTTTGCCAAATCTCCAAACGAAACTGTTGCAGAACCTCTCTGGGCTGGTCTTGCCTGAAAAAGAAGAAAAAATATATAGGATTAATTTTAAGTTAAAATATTTTGTAAAAAGCTTTTAATGCATCAGTAATTGAAAAGTACCTTCAAAAAGAAAATAGTTCAGGTTTACTTTACCTGTGATTCATGGAATTTCCAGCCAATCATGTAATAGATCTGAAACGTGGCAGGTACTGAGCCATCGCTATTTCCATACATTTCTGTTAGGGCAGGAAGGGAGAGGAAAAAAAAACCAGGTACACAGAACATCAGTTCTAAGAAATACTTGGTTCTCAGAAGACTAGAACTAAGTATGACATATTCATCATAATGACTCTTCATGAAAGATTTGGGACAATAAAAATATCCCATACTGGTGCATCAACATTGTTCAAACCCTATCATCATAATTAAAGTTTAAAATATCTGTACAATAAAGGTATTTTGTCTATTCCAAAATGGTGTGTTGTTTTTTTTTTTAACACAGAGGTCAGAAAAAAAGACATAGTAAATATATTCTTAAAGTAATTTCATATTAACTCTTATCTCTCAAGTACTTACCTTGGTATATTGCAGCAGCTGCCAACATCGTCTCCCTGTGTAGCAGGGGTTTTCTATTCCAAGAGCAATTACTCTCCCCCATACCTAAAAATATGTTTTAGCTTTAAGAAAAAGAAGATATAGCATATGCCATGAGTTAAAGGTCATGCGCTAATGACAGATTTTTACTACACCAGCATTAAGTATAGAATCCTCTGAATCTCACTGTAAGAGAAAACAACATATTACAAATAATTAGGTGGGTTTCTTACCTGTAAGAATTAAAGTCTTTTAATGCCAATACTTTGCAATTTACAGTTTGTATTGCTAGGAATGATTTAAAATTATTCCTTCTTCAGCCTGGGACTTCAAACATTTAGGTTTTCTAATATAATTTATTTCATGCAGAAGCACAAAGTGTTTATTCAGACACACCACTCATATGTTTGTTTTTTAACAGATAAGCATCAAAATTACTATCCCAAGAGACTTTTAATAAGAAATTACCACAACTTTAATTTCTTTAATCACTTACTGCATCTGAATGTTTCTGCAGAGAATGAAAGTTTTATTTTCATTAAGAAATTACTATAAACAACAGCAGCTGATCCAGAGTAGGAAGATGCCCTGAATCGCTCTGTAAGTAACAACTGACTGCACAGGACTACTTTACAAACCATGACAAATACCATCAGAATACCAATTCAATTGTTCAGCATCTCAATTTCTTTTTTTTTTCGTTCCTCAGCAGACTCCAATTTTAGGGTCTATTTATTCTCATTCCAAAGCAGTTTCCTGAATGTCCTGATAATTAGGGAGGCTCACAGGAAAAGTTAGTATGTGAGATATATGCTTCTGCCTCCCTTTCAGGGCTTTTCAGCAGCTTACACTGGACAGGGTCATAAAGAATAGGAATAAAAGAGACACAGAAACTTCATAGCAGACCATGAATTAGCAAGTTTGACTTCTGCTTCCCAACACAAATCTGCTGACAGACAATTTCCTGACTCAGTAGAGATCAGAAAGAAATTAATGCTTCCACTGTTAAAATAAAATTATTTTTTTTAAGGAAGAAGTTTTTTTACAATGAGAGTGACAAAATACTGGCACAGGTTGCTCAGAGAGGTGGTAGATGCCCCATCCATGGAAACATTCAAGGTCAGGCTAGGCGGTGCTCTGAGCAACCCGATTTAGTTGAAGAGGTCCCTGCTCGTTGCAGGGGGGTTCGAGTAGATGACCTTTAATGGTCCTTTATTCTATGATTTGGAGTTAAGCAAAACACAGTGAAACTCTTCTGTGTCTACACCACTGATATAGGAAATGTTTATGTTTCCACAAAGTATATACTTGCCTTGCAAGTCTTCCATAACCTCAAACAACCCTGGGTAGTTGACTTGAATTTCATCAGTATCCTAGAAGTATTGAGAAGTTTAGTTTTAGAGCATATCAAGTTAAAGCAGTAGCATTATGCTAGCCTTCAGAGCTGCTAACAGACTATTCCATCTGTCACTTCTGTTCAAAATTCTTAGAAAAATACACTGTCTTAACATTTCAAAAAGTTTTGTTTAGTAGCCCAAATGCAAACAAATTTTAATTAAAATGCCATTATTTCCTTCTTGGTCTTAGGAGAAACACCAAGAGCATCTAAAGGTTTTTCAAGCAGGTTTAACATTCTCTGACATTTATCCAAGAAGACATTCAAATTCTACTGGGCCACTAACCAAAGACATGCTTCAGTTGATTTCATTAATCACTGTGAAGCTGAGAACAGAGGTAGTCCAGGCTATTGCAGAAAGTTCTTCCACAAGGTGCATGATATGCAGAAGGAAGCAGTACTTTACTAATACATTATTAAACAGTGGGTTTTATATACCAGCAGCTCTGATGTTCTGGATTGTTCTGATTTTTCTCTTATTTATAATTACCACAGTCAGGGTGTTAAAGCCAGCTCTCGACAGCAGATGTCCCAAATCAGAGACAGCAGTGAACGGTGATACGTGAGGAGAAAATCCCCCTTCTCTCTCCAATTCTGCCAGCTGCAAAGAGCAGCGAAGCTCATACAGAGTGTCTCCCCCAAACATTGCGCCAATGAATACTCCATCTGGCTTCAGAACCTGGTGAATCTACCACACAGGAAAAAAAATGTTTTCTGTTATTAAGCCTATGTAACGAAGAATTTCTTAGGACTTTTTTTCTTTTTTTCCAAATTAACTTAAAAGCAACCATTATGAGAGTTGTAACAGATTTTTAATATTGACTGTATTGCACAAGGCAAGATGCTCCAAAGCTTTCGGTAACACTGTAAGATAAATAATCTGTCTAAAGAAAAACTGTTCTTAAGAGAGAGTGAACCCACAGAAATTACTCTTACAGTCAAGGAACACAAAACGCACCATGGAAATCTAGGGTACAATTATTAACAATGGGATACTCCTAAAACAGTATCCTCAATTAATTTACTGCTGAAAATAAGATAGATGAAAATAGCTTCTGCTCACTTATACTTTCTCAGATGAGGGCAGCAAAAACATTTTTTAATGGCTTGATTTAAGGGAAATGGAGGCCTCAGTTCCTAGTAGTGATCTCTCTACTTCTGAACACGTAACAGAGTAACGCAACTCTTATGTCTATCCCTACTTATTTTTAACTAGCTAGAAGAGCAATATGAGGACTCAAACACAAGGGTGACAAGCTGCTTTCTTGTCTATAAGCCCTAGCCCCCTTCTGACTGGCCAGGCCAATAAATTGATGCTTTCTTTTTTCCTTAAGAATTGGCAATGATCCCTGGTTTAGGTATCCAGATGAGCCATACTACATAATCAGGCTAAGGAGACAGCAAAAGCTTCAGTTTACCTTACTGATTAGAAACAAAATCTTTTAAACTGGTTTTTAATTATTAAGCTACATTTTCTGTGCTAATAAAGAAGCCTTTAATTGACATTGAAGCAGCTGAAGGCATCTTTCAATAAAGCCAGTGGTTCTGAAGTAGGAAATGAGCATTCATAATGAAAGCTGGCCAAGAACCCAAGTTCCCTCACTTTGTGGGACAGTATACTATGTCAATTATTTTTACTGTGGGGGTAAGACTATTTGATACTCCACAGGACACTTACACTCCAGAAAAAATAATAATTTTATTTCCAAGGGTGGGTTTGTTTTTTTTAGGTACTGAAGGCATTCAAATTTATTTTTATTATTTCCATAACAGCACTGTACTCCTATTCATACCAACAGGTGACAGAGTAGCACTGTAATGACTGACCAATTTGAAATAAACGAAAAACCAGCAAACTGGTTAAAACATTCCTTGCTCTTGCTCACTCCAAAGTTAGCTGATTTGAAGAAAATTTTCACCTGCAGAAAGGAGCTGAGATAATCCAAAATCAGATTTTTTCAGTAAGTTTCAGTTTTGTCTTCAACAAGCATTTGCTTAATTTCCAAATCAAAAAGCCTTTATGTGATTAAAGTTGTTTTTCAAAATAAATAGCTGAGACATTAAAATAATACAAGTTTCATAAACCAGTTCTGGCGAAGTTAGATTTAGAAAACCCTTGTACTACAATTCCTAAGAGCTAACACACAATAAAAATCAATAGCATCACCTCAGATTACATCACTTACCATGATCTCAGCTATTGAGACTATAAAATATTACACAACATGTTGTTTCAGTTATTTATTCCAAACTGATTTGGTAAATTATAGAAATATCCACTGACGCCCCTTGAACTGCCAATACTGTAAAAATACTGGTGAGAAACATGAGCCTTTTATTTAAAGAAGACCTGGAAATAGCACTCTGAATGCCAGTAATGTCAAGTGTTGAATTTTAGCATTAAAAAATAGTTTCTTACCTCTTTAAAAGCTCTAGGAAGGTCATTCACCCAATGTAAACTGTAATAACACAAGCATACATTTTATAATTGCGTATCAAACAACATTTAGGGATGCAAATAATATAACATTATCTAAGTATGTTTCAGAAGCCAAAGCAACTAGTTTTGAAATGCCAGCCTAAAACTGATACTAAGTAAAACCAAAACCTCTAGGGTTTGGAGCTTTTTGGGGTTTTGTTGGTTTGTTTTGTAAGTTGTGAAGTCCTGGAGACTAGTTTGTCAAAATGCAGGAAAGAGAGAAGCTACATGCATTTTAAAGGAAAACAAACAAACCAGCAAGAACCACCAGGACAGCACTTTTTCTTAAGGTATACTAGTATGTGTCTCATTGCTGTTTAGCAGACTATTAATCTTTCCATTTTTTCCTTAAAGTTACTCTAAAAAGAACATTATTTAACATCTTGAACCAAAAATTAAAATGTAAATAAATGATTAACACATACCTTAAACTGCTAACAACAAGATCAAACGTATCTTCTTTGAAAGGAAGGAATTCCTCATCAGCTACAACACTGACCGTAGGGATTTCAGATTCTATGGCGTTTTTCTAATGTTGGGTTAGAAGAAAAACAACATCAGAAATTCACTTCTGCTTTCCCATAGTACGGAACTGAAGAACATTAACATTCAGAAAGCTACTTACTAAAGCATTCTCCGCAATATCAACTTGAATAAGTTTTTCAACTGTTTCCTGAAATAAAATTTTAAAAGTTTATTTAATACTTGATTTGTTTTTCAATATTTGATATAAACATTATAAAAAGCAAAAAGCATTTTCTTTCCCCAATGCAGTACTCAGCAATTGCTCCCAATGATAACAGCTGAAGTAGAAGAAATAACAGAAGACACATTCTATGTTTTTAGGTATCAGTTCAGTCAAATGCACACCATGAATTAACAACAGCCAATGAAGTACCTTCACTTATTGTGTTGTTTATGAAGAGTAAACTGTTCACTGCTCAAAAATCTCCATAATGACACTTCTCTTGACCAACAAAGTGTGCCCAACTGATTGATCGAAAAACATGCAGGTTCTTACTCAAGACTAACAATTAACTGCCACACAACAGATTTCCCTTGCACTAACTACCATTTGTAATCTTTGGTGACAATAGAATAACAGCCTGCACAACACACGCCTCTGGATTATGGCTAGAGATATGAGGGGGAAAAAAAATTATGTCATCAAGACACAGCGAATTATTTTGAGTTATAACAGAGCCCTATTTGAAAACAAGGGGATAAACATGCACTTATTTTAAACACTTCTAAGCACAAAGAACCAATACCTTGGTTAAATGCTGAGCTATGTAACCTCTTCCAGAGCCAACATCCAAAGCCAGAGGAAATGTTCTAAAAGATAAGTTCAGCAACATAAAACATAATCAAAGCTTAAAACTAGATTAAATTTTAGACTATATTAAGTTTTATCCAGCCATTTCAGAATCACAGAATCACCTAGGTTGAAAAATACCTTGAAGATCATCCAGTCGAAGCATTAACCTCACACTGACCATTCCCAACTCCACCAGATCCCTCAGCGCTGGGTCATCAACCCGACTCTTCAACCCCTCCAGAGATGGGGACTCCACCGCTGCCCTGGGCAGCCCATTCCAACGCCCAACAACCCCTTCTGGAAAGAAATGCTTCCTAAGAGCCAGTCTAAACCTTCCTTGGTGCAACTTGAGGCCATTGCCTCTTGTCCTGTCGCTTGTTCCTTGGTTCAAGAGACACGCCTTTCCACACATCCTTTCCACTAACCGCATCGAGCATCCCCCTGCGGTCACGGCCACAAGGCAGGGCGCAGACATGTGCCCACAGATCAGCGTTTCTCCCCGCGTGTCACGTCCCCCACCCGCGACCCTTGAGCCGCGGAGGAGCGACTGTGCGGGACACGGCGCGGTGCCCCGCGTCCCGTCGCGGCGAGTCTTACCTGGGGATGTCAAACACCCTGTCCGCTATCCTGCCGCCGACCTAAGGAGAAAGCCCGCCGGTCAGCGGCGCGGGGCATGGCCCGGCAACGTCCCGCCCCGTCCCGCCGCCCGCACCTCCTCCCGCAGGTAGTCGCACTTAGCGGGCTCGGCCTGCAGCGCCGCCCAGTTCTTCTG